CTGGCCAGATAATCTTCTCATCAGCCACCCTCCAGATTCCATCAATAAAACTGGCAAACTTTTGCAGTGCTTTGGGTAGGCTCTGCACCTCATGGCAGGTCACATTGGAACCCATCAAGGTAGATTGTTTGGAGAACAACAGTCTCTGTGGGGACATGTTAGGGGGACATAGCAGTTTCTCGAGAAGGGGAGCTAACTTCAGATCAAGAAGAAACTGATGTTTCCCAAAAATACTAAGAAGAACTTTTTATAATTCAAAGAAACCTTAAAGGGTAATTACAACAAACAAACAAGGATGACTGTTACCAATGGAGTGTAAGAAATGTTGCACAAGAAAAAAATAACCATATGTTTCTGCCTCAACTTTTAATATTTTTATAGTCATTGCAATGAAAATACTGGGAATGGACTGTCCAAAAGTAAAATTTTGCTAAATGGAGAGATGTTAAAATATTAAACAGAGAAGGAAATATGTGAGAAAAAGGTTAAACATTAAAAAAAAGGTCAAACATTCACCTTCCACAGTAAGAAGTAAAAAACAATGATGCCTAAAGGAAAAAATAAAGTAGTAATACAAGCTTATCAAACAGAAATATGAAACATATAGCAAGAGAATCAGTTTGAATGTTTGAATGAGCAAATAAATATAAAGAATCCATCAGTCTGGAAGCTACCTTTGAAAAACAATAATAAACTCAGGGCTGGAAAGATAGTACAGCAGGTATGGCACTTTCCTTATATGCAGCTGCTCCGAGTTCAATCCCTGGCTCCTGGGACTGAATATTTGCACTCAGCGATCACTCATGGTGGGTTCAGGGGATATGTGAGAAAATAGTTAACCATTCACCTTGCACCATAGGAAGTGAAAAATAACTTCTGCTGGAAAAGCTAAACCTTTAGCTTTTTTGTTGTTTTGTTTTGTTTTGTTTTGGGGACATATCTGGCACTGCTAAGGCTCTGTGTTCAGGAATCACCTTGTCAGGCCTTGAGGGACCAGTGCTGAGTCAAGGTCAGCAGTGCTCAAGGCAAGCACCTCACCCACTGTCCTATCTTTCCAGCACACTTTAGCTTTGTTGGAAAATACCTGAGATATCACAACTCTTCTCCTTTCATAGTTTGTCTCTCTTCTAACATGAGTTCAGGACCACTAGCAACAGAGTAACACTAGGGTGGGGTCAGGACACTGAGTGACCTGGAATCCCCCTGAGCACAGTTAGCAATAGTAGTGGTGTCCAGATGTCACCAAGCTGGAGAGACAATTCATGAGCTGAGTATAGTATACTGCAAGGCATGCAAAGTATGCAGATTAGGCATTCAATACCTACCATATATGGTCCCCTGATCACAGAGCCAGGAACAACCCCTGAGAACTTCTGCATGTGGCCTAAAAAACAAAAACAGCCAACAACCAACCAACCAAAGAGAAACCACCAAACCAAATTGCAAATCCACTGCAGATGGGTATGGTAGTAGCCAATGCACCAAATTTCCTCCATTTTTCCTTCTAATCAGACAAGGTCAGGATATCAGGCTTAATGGATGGGCCAGAACCTTTTAGATTTTCTAAGAATATACATTCATCTGTGAACCGGAGTAACATTTAGACAGAATTCATTGAATTTTATTAGAGCTCTGTAATAACTTAACTGGACAGCATTTGGAGATCAGGCTTTCTAATGAAAAGGATGAATCTCACCAGTGCTTGGGCAGGTATCCAAGCAGTATAAGAAAGTAAAGCATGCATTTTTCCAGTTCCCACCCAAAGAAAAGCCCCTAAATGCTTTCCTAAACGAGGAAATAAATATATATATTTAAATAAACAATAAATAAGTAAATATTTTTGCCTTTTTGGGTCATACGCTGTGATGCACAGGGGTTACTCTTGGCTCTGCACTGAGGAATTACTCCTGGTGGTGTTCAGGGGACTATATGGGATGCTGGGGATTGAAACTCATGCAACATCCAACCTGCTGCACTATTACTCTGGTCCCAGATCTACTTTATTATATTTTAATAAATAGATCTATTTATTTCCTTGCCTAGGAAAACATTCAAGACTCTATGTATCAATAGATGACTGGATACAAAAAGATGTATATAGTCACAACAGAATACTACTCAGATGAATTTTTTTAAATTAAAAAAGATGAAATTTCACCATCTGCAACAACATTGATGGACCCAGAGGGCATTAAGCTTAAATAAGTCAAAGAAAAACATTGCATCATTTCACTCATATGTAGCATATAGGCCCACCCAACAAAGGAGTGACCTGAAGTTCTCAAATTATAAAAAGTGAACTTGAAAAAATAAAACTGAGCTGTCATTTTCCAGCGTAAGTGCCAGGATCCTAAGTGTAAGTGCTCTTCTAGCAAACAGCAGAGACTGGGGGAGCCGGATCCAAATCTAGGGCTGCCATGTACAGGTGGAGAGCAGCAGGTGAGTACAGCCATGCCTCTCTGCCTCAATTTCCTCATCTACAGTAAAGGAGTCCAGTATCAGCGTTCCCTCCAAAGATTACAGATCAGCAGAACACCCAGAACACAGTAATGCAGTAATAGAGAAGAGCAGCAAGCACTGCACACAGAACAACAGAGTATTGGGGAACTGGAGTATTCTCCAGTTCAGAACTGTTCAGAAGTGAGAGTTGGTTTTGTTTCGTTTTACTAAAGCCCTGGCGCCCTCTAGTGGGTAGGCTGAGCAGTCAACTCTGAGTCGCTTACCGCCTGTATTCTCACTTGGGAAATCAGACTGATTGCTTCCCTTCCTATGTTTTGGATACCATGTGTCTTCTTTCTTCATCTTTAATAGAACAAGTTTTTCCCTATCTCCTCTCATGTAAAGTCACATCCTCTTTATCACTGTAAGCAAAATTGCAAGTTCCACATTACCCCAGAAAGAAGAACAAATATATTCTTGACACTGCAATTTAGTCTCAGTGAGAAGAATATTTCCAATTTCTGAAGTGGTATAAATCACATCTTAAAAGGTATGATTTATACCAGAGATACTGATAAGCATTTTGGACACTGAAATTTAAGAAACAATTCAAATGGTTAACACTGTTTACTCTTGTCTAAAGGAACCTAGAAGAATCCTTAACATTTACTTCCATTGACCTTTTTAAAACACGCTGGGAAAGAACTCGAACTAGAGTAGTATGATAAGCATGTGGAGAGGCTGGTGGTGGAAAACCAGAGTTATGGGGTCCCCTGCTCTAATTGGAGCAAGGTAAGACAGTGCAAGGGCATATGAGTAAAGAACTGGGGAGAAGAACTATGGGCCAGGTTTCAAATGGTGATATCTAATGTCTGTAGAATCAGCTTACCAAGTGTGTTTTTATGTAACTTCTCAGATTATACCAAGGCCAAAGACAGTGCCTGAATTCAGGATTCTGCAATATGACCCCTCCCCCTCCCACCAAAACTCTTAACCATCACCATTTTAAGTGGACAATTAATTATATGAAGAAGTGAAGCTTTGAAATAAGCCATAGAAAGAAGGACAAATACCAGATGATCTCATTCATTCGTGGTATAGAAAGAGAAAAAAATAGGAAATAGCATCAAGTGATGATAAATCCTCGGCCTTGAATAACAAATCTGAGACCAAACAGCCTGGAAGTGGTTTGGGAGAGCAAGAGGCGGACCACAAGTGACACAAAAACCAGGATGGAGGGTCTTGAGCAAAGGTAGTAGTGAAGGTGTGGTGATTTTTTTTCATCAAAACCACCATAACCATGATACCTAAACTATAAGAAAATTTCAATGTGTATTTAAAAGTGGTGATTGGGGCTAGAGCGATAGTACAGCAGTAAGGCTCTTTCCTTGCACGGGGCAAACCCGGGTTCCCTTCCCCGCATACCACATACAGCCTCCTGGGCCCTCCTAGGAGTGATTCCCGAGCGCTGCAGAGCCAAGGAGCAAGCCCTGAGCACCAGTGGGGATGGCTCCAAAACTAATTAAAAAGTGTATAAACCGGAGGGTAGGGGGTGGTGGTGAGGGGATACAATTGTGTGTGCGTGAACGTCCATATATGATTCAGCGTGTGGGCATGAGAAAAAGGCCATGGTCTTTGCTTTGAAGAAAAAGAGAAGTGGGCGGGATATTGAACCATTTTAGAACCCCAGGAAGGGAGAATTTCAAAGAGAACGAGAGCATGGGGTTAGAATTTTGTGACTAAGAAGAGACAAGAGATCGCAGACCCCAAGCATCTGCAGCCATATCGGTACCCATACAAGGGTGACCGCACTGTTCCCTGCGGAAAGTTTCGAGAGGCCCAGGGGGGTGGGGGAGTGGGGGGGGGAGGGGGACTCTGCGCTCCCATGCCTCTTCCCTCCTTCCACCACCCCAAGCCCAGCGGGCACGCCAAGTTCAGCACCTCGGAAAGCGCCCCCATCTCCTCCCGCACGCTTGTACGCATGCTCCCTGGGCGCCCCCCGCCGCCGCGGGCGGCTCTGCGGGTTCGAGTGTGAGTCGGTGAGCTGGGCGAGCTGGGAGACGGCTCGGGAGGCAGTGGCCGCAGCAACGCCCCGAGCCTCGAGACAATCGGCGGGGTGGACAGAAACCTCATCCCGCCGCCGCCGAGGAGTCCGCCAAGAGGTATTTGAAAGAGAAGGAGTTGGGGGGCCAGGGGGGGAGACTGGAAGGCAGGGGACGGGGGACTCCCCCTGCGTTCCGGGGCGGCAGAGTGGGTCGCGCGCCGGTGCCAAAGTGACAGTGGGAAGCCGCATTGGAGAGACGGGCAGCTCCAATGAGTCATTAGAGTGGGAACCCCACGGGGCGGGGGGGGGGGGGGGACTCCGCGCAGGGTGGGACCACCTTTGAGAGCCCACTCACCTCTCGTCCCTCTCGTTTCTCTCCAACTCCCCTTGCAGAGCAGACGCGGAGCTTGGCCCCCGCGAGAAGCGCGCTTGCCACCTTGTCCCCAGGCTCCGTCCTGGGCAGCCACCTCGACACCTGTCTCGCAGCGCCCCGCGTCCTGGCCTCCTTCGGGCGAGCTGGACCCCTCGCAGTTGTGTCCCCGGGACCATGACCTAGAGGAGCCCGTGCGTGCGGGTGGCCGCTGCTTACACGAAACGCCACCATGAATACTAGGGCGGCGGATGGGGACGAACTCGCGGAAGTCTGGAGTCTGATCCCGGAGTTTCTGGACCAGGCGGCCAACGCCAGCGGCAACGCGTCGCTGGCGCTCCGGGACGTCTGGTGGCAGCTGGGGTTGGAGCTGCCGGACGGCGCGGCGCCGGGGCATCCCCCCGGAGTGGGGCACGCGGTGAGCGCGGACACCGAGGCCCGGGTGCGCGTGCTCATCAGCGTGGTGTACTGGGTGGTGTGCGCCTTGGGCCTGGCCGGCAACCTGCTGGTGCTCTACCTGATGAAGAGCAAGCAGGGCTGGCGCAAATCCGCCATCAACCTCTTCGTCACCAACCTGGCGCTGACCGACTTCCAGTTCGTGCTCACCTTGCCCTTCTGGGCCGTGGAGAACGCCCTGGACTTCAAATGGCCCTTCGGCAAGGCCATGTGTAAGATCGTCTCGGTCGTGACGTCCATGAACATGTACGCCAGCGTCTTCTTCCTCACCTCCATGAGCGTGGCGCGCTACCACTCGGTGGCCTCGGCCGTGAAGAGCCACCGGACCCGGGGGTCCCGCCTGGGCGGCTGCTGCGGCCGGTGGCGCCTGGGGAGCGGGCGCCGCTGCTCGGCCAAGGCGCTGTGCGCGCTCATCTGGGCCTCGGCCGCGCTCGCCTCGCTGCCCAACGCCGTCTTCTCCAGCACCGTCAGAGTGATGGGTGAGGAGCTGTGCCTGGTGCGCTTCCCGGACCAGTGGCTGGGCGGCGACCGGCAGTTCTGGCTGGGCCTTTACCACCTGCAGAAGGTGGTGCTGGGCTTCGTGCTGCCGCTGCTCGTCATCAGCCTGTGCTACTTGCTGCTCCTGCGCTTCCTCTCCGACCGCCGGGTGGTGGGGACCGAGGGCGGGGCGGCCGCGGCGGCTGCGGCGGCGGGGGGCGGCCCGGCCGGAGCCAACGCCCGGCGGCGATCCAAGGTCACCAAATCCGTGACCATCGTGGTCCTGTCCTTCTTCCTGTGCTGGCTGCCCAACCAGGCGCTCACCACCTGGAGCATCCTCATCAAGTTCAACGCGGTGCCCTTCAGCCGCGAGTACTTCGTGTGCCAGGTCTACGCCTTCCCGGTGAGCGTGTGCCTGGCGCACTCCAACAGCTGCCTCAACCCGGTCCTCTACTGCCTCGTGCGCCGCGAGTTCCGCAAAGCGCTCAAGAACTTGCTGTGGCGCCTGGCGTCGCCTTCGCTCACCAGCATGCGCCCCTTCACCGCCACCACCAAGCCCGAGCCCGAGGACCCGGGGCTGCAGGCCCTGGCGCCACTGCACGCCGCCCCCGAACCCGAACTGCTCTACTACCCGCCGGGGGTGGTGGTCTACAGCGGCGGCCGCTACGACCTGTTGCCTAGTAGCTCCGCGGACTGACTGGCTCCGTCCCGGGGCCCGGGGGACAGGGAGTGAGTGAGGGGAGGCTGGGGGTCAGGGGGAAGCCGGATGGAGAGGTAGGTGGAACGGGGGGCGGGGGGGGGGGAGTGCTGAGAGACAGGGAAGAGCAGCCTGGGGACCGTCTCCCCAGAGAGGCTGCGAAACCCAGGAAACTGGCAAAGGGTCTGAACTCCTGCCTGCTCTGCCCCCGCGTGCTCCCAGCCCGTCCCTTCGCCCCGTTCACCTGTTTTCCTTTCAACGCATCTAGGAGCCGCCCCTAGTAACGGAAAAAGGCATTGAGGATGCCCAGGAAGTTGGGGTCGAGCCTTTCAGCGTTCAGATGATCGCATTGATCCTAGAGACTTTTAAGCGGCTTCCAGGTGCCTCCAGCCAGGAGAGTGTCCAAACTTTCCCTCTGAGCCCTGGTGGGCCAGCTTGCCCGCACCAAGGTCTGTCTGGCTTCCCGCGTGAGTTCTCCGGAAAGGAGAGTCAGGCGCAAGGAACGCTTTTTGGTGGTGGTGGTGGTTGGGGGGTGCGATGTCGAGGATAAGGAAACAGATTCGGTCTGTCCCTAGGAGAAATGCCCCGTGAGAGGGGCGGGTCCCCTTGGGCCCTCGTGCTCAGGACTGTCCGTCCCTCGCTGGTGGGTAGGCGGCAAGCGCAAAGCAAGACCGGGAAACCGCCTCCTAGTTCAGATGTCACCGGGGTCCACCCTGATCTCTGTGCCTGAGAGCTAATGGCTGGGGAGTGGCTTCTCATCTCAGCGTGTGTTTTTCAGGGTAGACAGACCACCTCAGGCTGCTCTCCTAAAGGAAAAGGGGGTGATGATTCCTTGGTATCCAAGCAGACAGGGGAAGTGAGAAAGCCCCGCTCCTCAACTCCCCGCCCCCAATCCCACCCCCCCACTCCTAGTAGGAAGTAATGACACCAGGGGCAGCGACCAGGGAAGCAACATGAAAGGGTTTGAGTGCACTTGCTACCTCGAGCCGGGACTTCCCTGCAGATTCTGCCCAGCCTGGACCCTGGGAACCAGGGTGCTGATTTGAGTGGGATCTTGACTGGGATTCTGAAACACGAGGAGCAGGGCGGACGTTTTGTGGGCTTCCAGAGAAGACACAGAAATGCTGTGGGAACATGCAGAAGGTTCCTGGAACCCAGATTCTTGCTAGCTGGTGTCTGGTCTTTTCAAAGGGAGTGTGGAGGGAGACTTGAATTAAAGTTAAAGCTTCCTAAAGGCTCTGTTTGGGGGTGGGAGTAGAAAAATTTCAGGTGTGGTGGTCTCGATTGCACAAGGAGGTTTAGGGAGAGCAGGTAGGAATTAAGAGATGAATTGTTCCTGGATGCCTAAATGCCCATAGAATTGTCTCTGGAGGGCAATACATTTCTCAGGACAACTCTGTCCTGATCTCATGGTTTGGTTCTTTTGTTGTTGTTGTTGGGGTGGGGGGTGGGCAATGGGGGGGGGGTGGAGTTCAGAGAACTGTGATTAAACATTCATCTGGTAGCTTTGACAGAGATGCTGCCAATGTCTTTGGCAACATAGTTTGAAGTCAAGAAATAGTAACTGGGAGCCAGAGTGGTTTGGTGCTTGCCATGCATGCCTCCCATTCGGGTTTGATCTCTGGTACCCCATATGGTCCCCCAAGTCCCACCAGGAATGATAACAAAGTACAGAACCAGTAGTAAACCCTGAGCACCGTTGGGTATGGCCCCAAAATGGGGGAAAAAACAGCACAGTAAATGGTGTGGTAATTTTATTTATTTGTTTGTTTGCCTGTGAGCTACACTCAGATGTACTCAAGGTTGACTCCTTACTCTGTGCCCAGAGATCACCTGGCAGACTGAGTTACTGTGTGGGGTGCCAGGGATCGAGCCCAGGTTGATCATGTGCAAGGCAAGTGCCCTGTCCTCTATCCTATTGCTCAGACTCCTGGTGTGATAATTTTAATAAAATAAATGGTCATTCCAAAAGACATGTCTGCTTAAATAGCTCCTTAAACTGTATGTCAGTATGTTATAGTTGTGTTGGAAACATCCCTTAGTGTATGAGACTTAAAGCCCAAAGAGTGAGTGTATGAGATTTAAGGTTCAAAACATGACAGTGCAGTTGCTAAACTCTAATACCTTGCTGCAGATACAAAGCCTGCGTGACTCTACACTACACAGTCTTCAGAAGTGAGCTATTTTTAGAAAACAGGATAATGCTTTTTTTTTAAAAAAAAAAAAAGGACTGAATTAAGTATTTCTTTGTCCTCTAAGGAGAAAATATTAATATATCAATCAAATAGCAATTGGGCTTATGAAGACTGAAACTGAGCCCTTCTGAGTTCCAAAATAGAGAAGAAATGAAAAGGTAAATGCCCAGAAAGAGCAAATTCTAGCATGTCAGGGATCCATACATAATGCTTTTCATTAGACTCTTGGTGAGGAATTCTCTTTATTACAGCAACTTGCCATTTCAATTTTGACAATAAAATTATGTGTGGGTAATTCATGATTCTTAGAAAAGTATATTGAAGGGTGTATTTCTGTAGTGCATGCAAGAAAAACAGAAGGGGCTGGGGCAGGATTCATGGAAAATCTGCCAAGAGAATCACCTTGGCCCTATCCAATTCTGAGGACTTCTCAGTCATGGTGTGACAAAAGTCTACCACAAAGAGAAAATAGTCAATTTCGAAGCCAACATAATTGAAATCAGATATAGCACTGTAGCACTGTCCTCCCATTGTTCATCGATTTGCTCGAGCAGGCCCAGTAACATCTCCATCATGAGACTCGTTACTGTGTTTGGCATATTGAATATGTCATGGGTAGCTTGCCAGGCTTTGCCATGCAGGCGAGATAATCTCAGTAGCTTGCCGGGATCTCCAAAAGGGGTGGAAGAATCGAACCCGGCTCAGTCAGGCCGGCTGCACCCAAGGCAAATGCCCTACCACTGTGCTATCACTCCAGCCTATATATATATATATATATATACATATACATATATATGTATATATATTTATCTTTTGAGTGCCTGTTTTTGTAACAAGTAACAAGTCTTGTGGTGATACTGAGACTTCATACACAAATTATTTTCCTGACTTCCAAGCACCCAATATAAAAAACCATGGAACTATAAACTGCATATCACAGAAGGGTTAAAAGGAAATGCTATGGAAAGAGAGGGGTTAGAAAACTTGGTTCTGCTAGGGGTTCAGAGTCTCCCGGCCAGAACATTTGAGGTATAATCTAGAAATACAAGTACAACTTTGGCAAAAAAGACTATTAAGACAAGGAATGGGGATTTCAGATAGCTGAGCTGAGAAATGCAGGAATCAAAGACTCAGAAGTTGCAATGTTAGGTGTCTGGTGGGGAAGCAGGAAGCAAAGAAATGCAGCATCCCTTTTTCCTACAAGATTTCCCAAGATTGGTATTAATATGCAAAGATCCAAGTACATGGCTTATTCATTCATTTGGGACTGGGACATTTTCATCCGAGAGAAAATATAGCATTGATATACCATGAATGAGTAGCTGCATGTTCAAAAGTGGTTAAAGACTTTTAAATTGAATTCTGTCAATTCACCCCAACCTCAGTTAAGTTGGTCTGAGTCTTTAAATATTTGAGAAGGTGAAAGGAAGAAGGAAAGAGAAAGAGAATGTCTGATCTTGTCTCTTACTCATCCTTGTTTCCTATCCAGTGTTCCCGTGGAAGGAGTGTCATTCACAGTAAAGACTATGCCCCCTGCTTGGCCATAGATGACAACTCCTGAATTTGAGGGGGGAGGTCCACGTAAGAGGGCGCTCAGCTGCAGGTCACTGTCCCAGGACTCCCACACATTCTTTACAAAATCTTCACTAACCAAACCCACCCTCAGAAAAATAATCTGAAAATGAACACTGAACTCAGGCAATAATTTCACTTCCATTTATTTAGGTTTTATGGGACAGCCCTGGCAGAGCTCCAGGGCTGCTACTGACTCTGTGCTCAGGGGACCATGTGATGCTGGGGGTTGAATGTAGGCTTCCTACACACATTAAGCTTCTCTCCAAGTCCTAATTGCACTCCTTAATCTTGCCAAGGTTGAGGATAGGTAGGCAAAGCCAGAGAGCTCTTTCCTCCCCTTATTAAGGCCCCCCTGAGTCAGTCATGACTCTGCCTCTTAAACATGAATGGTGTGAGCATGAAGAGAGAGGAAGACTGAGGGGAGATGAAGGCGTGTCAAATGTGACTCTCCCTAAGAACGAGATCACTTCATTTGAATGTGAAGATACCAATACAATAAAAGGAAGGGAAGCAGAAAATGTGAAGCGCCCATGTGCAAAGGAAGAAAGCAACCCTCAGAGGATGACAACAGAAACAATGGTACCCACAGAGATCACAGCAGAAGGCCCCACAGGGTGTGGGAAGACCCCAGGAAGTGGTAGGAAGCACAAGAGTCTGTGGCCTGGAGCTGAGGAATAAAGCTGTATGGTCAGCGGTTGATAGGCATGAGGAGTGGGCAGAAAGGAGTGAGCACTTTGGTTTAGGTCTTATGCCTCCCCCCCCCCCCGCCCCGCCCTCACCCAACACACATAGATCCAGCCAGGGGTGTTGCTCACAGCCTTGTCAGTATGAAACTGGGAACAGCAAAGAGATGCTTCTTAGAATCAGAGAGGCTGCCCAGCGAATTGCAGCAGAGAGCTGGTTGTCAGAGCAGTAACTAGCGGGAAAAGCATGGGTGTAAGTAATGCAGGGCAAAGGAGAAGGATGGTGGGAGGAGAAGGAGAAGGAGAGGGAAGGAGAAGGAAGGAGAAAGGGAGGATGTGGGCAGGAGAGGGGAGCCGAGGAAGCTCTTAGGCTGTGCTCCTAGCCAGCTTCTCTTAGTCCTTCCTTGACGTGGTGGCCAGTGCCTTGGCCCAGATTGATCTTTAGGAGTCTTTGTTTTATCTCCCCACTCTCAGCTGTATCTCTCTCCACCAGGTCCAGCCGTCATAAGGCTACCCACACCTTCTAGATTTTGTACCAGTACCCAACTGCAGAAGAAAATGG